GTGCCAAGGTCATATTTATAAAATTTATTAACGGATTCGTTTTAGACGATATTAAATAAAAGAACGAAGAGGAAAGAGGTCGCCACGCCGCTTCCTGCTGCGCCGAGTGTTGTGGGTTCAAACCCCACATGGGTTCAACCCCAAATTGTTGTTCTGAGTTTGGGTGTTCTCCGTGCCCGTTTCATGTATGTTTGTAAAGTCCCCCGCGACACAGGATATATTCCTAATGCGGGAGTTGTCCTTTAAAAAATCTAAAGGCCAATTCTCGTAAAAAAAGTTAGGTCAACAAAATTCAGTTCCGGCCTACTCTTTATCTCATAAATGTCATAAAGGTATTAACATAGTTTTTGGACAGAATAACATAATTAAAATCATGACTGCACACGGATGGCAGAGTGGTTTAAGCAGTCACCTTGATGCTTTCTACTGCGCTGAGGCTTCGATCCCCACATAGGACAACACTATGTGTAATGTTGAAGAGTTTTATGGACTAGGGGGCAAACGAGCAGACAGGTCACCTGATGGAAAGCGACTACCGCCGCCCATGAACGCCCGAATTTTTGTTTTGTGCCCGTTTACACTGGATATATTTCTATGCGGGAGTTGTCTTTTAAAAAATAATAAAAAAGTAGTTAATCTTAGTTAGTTTTTAGTTAATCTTATAGGACAAGGGGGGGAGACAGTGGGAGACTTACTTGTGTGAAGGTTAGTGGGAGGCCGCCACGTGTCGCCAGCATATTCAAAATTATTAACAGGTATTACACACAATCATTGTTAAAAACTTTCAACAGTTCACTAATTGAGTCGACGTAAACTATTCACTCAAAGAATTATTACACTTTCTTGAAACTGCACGAGCGAGCGTGTGTTCTTCCCTTTACTACTGAATGCGACTGAATCACGACCCCGTCGGTTGTGTAGAGGGTTTTTTGTGGTACAGAGGACAATCGAGCAGATAGCACCTGATGGACTACCTCCACCCATGGAGCCCTCAAGAGACAAAAGCGCGTCACTGCCCTTTAAGTGCAAGAGTTAGAGGGGTTAAGTCTCCGGTAACCTCCATCAAAGAAAGAATTGATTAACACCGGTTTTCTGTGAAGCCGTGGTAACACTGCGGTCGAGCCGGTTCATTTGTGACGAAGTGAGGCTCTCCCATACCATACAGATGTCGCGTCATGATGGAAACACATAAGAACGAATAGAAATAAGGTTAAGATTATAAAATCCCACCCACAATAAAAACAGAGGCCTTAGTGTGAGTTTATACACACACACACACACACACACACACACACACACACACACACACACACACACACACACACTAACACACACACACTGAAATATTCACCAATCGCAGCGCCGTCGAGAGCGAGTGGGTTAGAAATAAACTCACACTAGGTCCTTTAATGAGTTAACTGACAAGTCACGTCCGTGTGGGGGTGGCTGGGGTGGCGCTATGCGAGTTATCAGAAGAATTTACCAATAACGTTTAATGAAATTCTAAGAGATAACGTCGACCAATATACGTTTGTATGAAGTGCCTTTTCTTTATAGAGAGCATCGCACTTAGATATTATAAACTGGGAGATAATCCATACTACACATCACATCACATCAACAGCCTTTAATAGTCCACTGCTGGACATAGGCCTCTCCTTAGAAAGAAGGTTTTGGCCTACTATACCACGCTGGCCAGGCGGGTTGGTATAGGGTTTGTGTCAAGTTTTCCTTCTTTTTGCAGTGCTGGTGTCCTGCGTTGTATTGCGCCCTTAGTCGGCTCTTACGACACCCACGGGATGAATTGGGGTAGTGACATTCCGTATTCTTAATCCGTCACTACACTAATCCATACTAATATTATAAATTACTCTTCACGTTTAAACCGCTGAACCGATTTTGATGAAATATTTGGTATAGAGATAGTTCCAGTCCCGGTAAAGAATTTTATATCCCAGAAATCGTTCTTTAAGGGGATGAAAAGGGGCATGGAAGTTTGTATGTTTAATTAGTAACCGCTAAACCGATTTAGATGAAATTTGGTATGGAGATAATTTTACCGCGATAACCAACATACACACGGGCGGAGTCACGGGAAAAAACCTAGTAATATACACATAAAACCTTACACACGGCCTGATCTGATCCCAAACTAGTCAGAGCCCGTACTACGGTAACCAGACTGCTGATAAACATACTCGTACTTAAATATTTTTAAATACATACATATTACTTATAGATAAATTACACCCAGATACAGAACAAATGACCGTGCTTATCACACAATATTTGTCCTTTTTTTTTTGTTTTTTTTTTCCGTGCGGAAATCCCCTCGGATACCACCTGTCGGTGGCATGTCGGACTCGAACCGACTAAAACCGCACGCCTTCGCCGGGTTCTAATAGCCGGGGAACCAGGTATACCCTAGAAAGGAAGTCCCTGGTGCCCCGACATACCTCGGGTCATCTACAGACGAGTAGACGACCCCCCCCCCGTGTGGGAACCCCATGTTCCCTGTGCTCCCTGGAAGCGAGCGCGCTTCGCAACGCGCTCGCCGCCACCCCGGCCTGCTTCTGCTAGGGTGACCGATGGCCTCACCTGTCACCCCCAGGCCTGCGCTTATGGAGGACGGAGGTCGTTCTGCGACCTCCGGCGCCTGAGTCGCCTGCGCTGCCTGGCCCGTGCCCGGGCCTGGCGGGCCGGGAGAGTTCTAAACCTCTCCCGGTCCCGCTCCGCCGTCTCCTTCGCGAGCATAACTTGCTCGCAGAAGGAGACGGCAGAGTTCCACGCACTCTCGGTCCGCACGATAGCCGTAATCAGGCTATCGAGCGAGAGAACTCCCACTCCGATGGCCGCCACGAGGTCTCGCCTCTGCTCAACCCACGCCGGGCACTCTGCCAGCGTGTGGAGAGCCGTGTCCACGGTCTGGCCATCGCAGTGGTGGCACTCAGGCGTTGGCTCCTTGCGGATCAGACACAGGTGATCTCCGAAACATCCCTTCCCAGTGATCACCTGCGTCAATCGGTATGAGAGGATCCCGTGACGCCTCTCGAGCCAATCCTCCATAACGGGTCTTACCGCCGCAATGACGGCGTGCCCGACAATATTTGTCCTAGGTGTGAATCAAAGCCACGACCTCCGGCTTAACAGTCAGAGTCACTAACCACTAGACCAACGGCCCGTATGAAATGATAACCTCCTCCTATTTGAAGACTGGTAAAAAAGGGGTACAGAGAATATCCTTCACGTACGCCACTTATCATGGTATATAGAGCGTGCACCTCTTCGCCGATTATATACAACGTACAACTCATATGTCACGAGCTTGGATATTTTCGCTCTCACTCACTCTAAATTTAAAAAAATTGCCACTGAAATTCTTGCTGATCTGTGATAACATTCTCAGTTAACTACCTACCTATCTTTTACATATAATTCACATCACATCAATCATCACATCAACAGCCTTTAATAGTCCACTGCTGGACATAGGCCTCTCCTTAGAAAGAAGGTTTTGGCCTACTATACCACGCTGGCCAGGCGGGTTGGTATAGGGTTTGTGTCAAGTTTTCCGTCTTTTTGCAGTGCTAGTGTCCAGCGTTGTTTTGCGCCCTTAGTCGGTTCTTACGACACCCACGGGATGAATTGGGGTAGTGACATTCCGTATTCTTAATCCGTCACTACACGGACATATAATTCACCGATTGTGTATAGTGCGCGTCCGTTACCTTTTCTACTTCATCTATAAACTCGTGGACAATAGTGTGGGTTATACGTTTTAAATACTGCACTACTGGACTGCACGGATGGCGTAGTGGTTTACGCGGTCGCCACGCCGCTTCCTACTACGCCGAGTGTTGTGGTTTCAAACCCACAACACTTTGTGTGATCCAAAAATTGTTGTTCCAAGTCTGGGTGTTATTTGTGTCCGTTTCATGTATGTTGGTAAAGTCCCCCGCAACACAGGATATTTTCCTTATGCGGGAGTAGTCTTTTAAAAAAAAAAAAATTAATTGCTAAATCAATTGTAAAGACTGCATTGTATAACTGTTTTTTGTCCCTAATAAATAAAATAAAATATATATATGTATATATATACGCAGTATTGATTTTCTTTATATTTGTATACTCGTACTATAAACTAGAGATAATTCAAAGTACTTGATTCGTTTATCAGTAGGACACAAATGTTATTGATAACACTTTGGATACGGTGAGGGTCTGATAACTCAATGATAATGGATGATATAGGTATACTCGAAATGGAAGGTGAATCGTAATTATTCGATTAAAACTTATATTTATATAATTATAATAACATCACACACGGCTGTTTGATCCCAAACTAGGCAGAGCCTGTGCTTTGGTTTACAGACTGCTGATAAAAATACATAATTAATACTAATATTCTAAAACATACCATAACGCCATCTAGTGCCAAACTAAGCAGAGCTTGTACTATGGCTAGTAGACAACTGATATAAATACATATACTTCTTTTTTTTTTGTAAATACATACATATTATACATAGAAACACCCAGACCAAATCAAGCATTAAATGTTCATACACACAAATGTTTGACTTGAGCGGGAATCGAACCCGCGACCTTTGGATTAGCTGTCCGTTACACAAACCACTACGCCATTCAGTCGTCAAGTATACATTAACTACTAAATACATACATATTATAGATAAACTGTTGACCCGTGGGGGTTCAATGTCAGTAAACTGAACATCAGATATCATCATCATCAACAGCATTTAGTAGTCCACTGCTGGACTTAGGCCTCTACTCAGAGAGGATATTTTGGCTTAATATACCACGCTGGCCAGACGGGTTGGTAGGGGTTTTGTTTCTATGCTGTTGTCCTGCGTAGTTTGCTCCCTCAGTCGGTTCTTACGACACCCACGGGATGAATAGGGACACTCTGTATACCTAATCCGTCACCACACGGACGGACATCTTGAATACTAAATTAAATTTAAAAAAAAACTTACCCCACATCCAAATCATCCAACCGTTGGTACTTAACGCCTCTGGATATCATGTTGTCTCTGTCACACTAACACTGTGTCAAGAAAAGCACTGCCGTTTCACTCACACACACACACTACCACTATATAACTAAACACAATATATAGTCACGTGAGTGTTCCTGTTTCGAATTTTCGCATTCCAATTTCGAATCTGACAGAAAGGTTCGTTATTTTAATACTTGTAATGTTTTCTTTATTCCTCAATTTTCCTTAAATTTACAGCATTGTTTATGCTTAAATTTGAATTTGAAGGACAAAACGGAAAAATGACTTTCCTAAATGAAAAAAGAATGAATTCAAATCGGTTTATAAGTAACGAGTTCGTCTAGTAGTCAAATTTCTTTTAATATTCTGGCCAGCATAATTGGAACCGTCATTATATAGAACTCCCGTATCATAAGAGGTGAATATTTGTACTGGTCCCTCACTAGCTGTATGCAACCGATTACGTTTATCTCTTTAATTTATTAGAAAAGAAAGAAAGAAAAACAATTTATCCGTGGACATAAGAACATACACTCACAATATATTCGTTCCGTATTCAAAAAGTACCCAACCTTCTTCTTAATGAGACGGCAGAATCATCGAATCGAGAGTGCAGCAACCAACTTGCCTACACTCATGGTGTACGAATATAGTGATAATATATGTCTGTTTGTGTGTAGATACATATATATGTATAGTGTGTGTATGTGTATTTATATATATATGTGTGTATGTATGTGTATATTTATGTGTGCTTGTGTATAAAATTACGTGTGTTGTGTTGTCTAGTGTATATTTTAGTGATTAGTGTTATAACCTATATGCGCCTACCACTCACGATTTCTACACTACTGGGAGAGATTGCCTTGGGCATTAAGTCCGCCGATGTACAAATGTGCATAAAGTTATAAATAAATAAATTTAAGTGAAACTTCATACTAGATAGGTAGGTACCTATAGGCACCTCACATGCCAGTCGAATAGGACCTGGTGCAGCGTCTACATGACAGATGTCAAGCGGTAGTGTTCAACCAGACCTTTTACTGATTGACAGACGTAACTCGGACTATGCAATAACAAAAAAATAGTTATAAGCTAATAATAACTATACTTTAAAGGAGAGAAAGATTTTATTAGTAAACAAGCAGAAATAATATACTCAAACCTTCAAGAAAAGAGCGTACTAATTCCTAAAAGGCCGGCAACGCGTTTGTGACTCCTGCGTTGCAAACGTTCATGGGCGGCGATGGTCAATTTCCATCAGGTGACCCGTCTACTTGTCAGCCCCCTCAAACTCACAATTTATATTAAACAAATTGATTACATTTAACGGCATAAATTGGTAAAATGAGGGCTTTATACACCCCTCTGTCTACCCCATCGAGGATATAGGCGTGATAGTTTACATAACCCTACAATTCATTCACAAAAATTCAAGTTTTTATTTAGATCAAGTGTCACGTTTCCGCAGCAACCTCCGTCATGTCTGTCTAACATGATGCTGTCTCTGTCACTCAGAATACTTTCACTTAACAAGGTCTAAGTAACGGCAAGTTGGAACAGCAATCGGTAACTTCATACTGTCAGCTGTTGGCCTAGAGTCTGTTTAGTATAATATTAAATTTGACACACCTCACACACGGTCGTCTGATCCCGAACTAGGCAGAGTCTTTACTATGGTAACCAGACTGCTGATAAACATACTTGTAAATTTCTAAATACGTGTGTTTGTAACCTAATTCCTCCTAAACTGTTAGACCAATTTGGATGAAATTTTGTGTGTATATTTTAATGGGTACCTGGATGGTTTGAAAACACAATTGGACCCTTTAGGTGGCGCTGCTGTCGGTATGTCACGAAATTTGTCACCTAATTTATTTATTCTAGGCGGTACGCAGTTCGCGGGGTCAGCTCGTATTATAGATAAATTACACTCAGACGCAGAACAAATAATCGCGTTCATCACACATTATTTTTCCTGGGTGGGAATACAACCCACGACCTATCGCTTTTTTTTATGCCATAGTAAAGCAAACGAACAGAAGGGTCATCTGATGGTAAGTGACTACCGCTGGCCGCAAAAATGGACATAGACACGCGCAATTCAATAGTCACAAGTGATTTGCTGGTCTTGAAGAGCCCAGCTCTGGAGGGGGAGGGGTTTTATCTATTTTTATTTGGGAAACAAAAACAGTTACACAGTTTTCTTGGTTTAATGTCTTTATGTTAAGTTAGGTATTTATAAATGTGTTAGCCTACAACGTTATCGGGTTGCGCATTAATAATCTTATTCATTAGCTTAGCACCGATTTTTTTTTGATCCTTAGTATCACTCTCGTCAAGCTAGCCCATGTCCAAACATATCAATTTGGAAGTGTACCAGCCAAGTGGACAATAAAACCTAGGAAACGTTAATGATTTAATGATAACAAAATTGGTGTCGGTCTGGTGGCGATGATCCACCCACCGCCGTTTAAACAATAACAACTTTAACCAACAATAGCTTATGTTTAAATATCAATAGTCAACACGCAAATATTATTATACTGTTTAGCGCATTGCTCGACATCAAGTAAGTGGGTTTTATAACAGGCAGGGAGTCTTCTTCCCCATCTCGAGATGAGAGAATATACCTTAGACTTCTTCTGAAGGGTTTTCTTTCAAAAAAAATTTTTTTAAAGACAACTCCCGCACTAGGAATAAATCCTGTGTCGCGAGGGACTTCATAAACATACATGAAACGGACACAAAGAACACCCAGACTCAGAACAACAATTTGTGGATCACACAAAGCGTCGTCCCATGTGGGGATCGGACCCACAACACTAGTAAGCGGCGAGGCGACCGCTTAAACCACTACGCTATCTGTGCAGTCAAAATTACCTTAATCATATTTGTAGTAACAGTGCCTCACATAAAATGGCTGTAAAGCTTTCTTTACGATGCTTTTCACCGAGTGGGTGTAGTTAGTGGATCATAAAGTTCAGAAAAGATCTGCAAAACAACCATCATCATCAACAGCCTTCAATAGTCCACTGCTGGATACAAGCATGTCCTTAAAAATGAGGTTTTGGCCTACTAAACCACGCTAGCCATACGAATTGGTATAGGGTTTGTGTCAAGTTTTCCTTCTCTGTTTGCTCCTTTAGTCGGCTCTTACGACAGCTACGGGATGAATAGGGGTGGTGACTCCGTATTCTTAATCCTTCACCACACGTAGTGACACAATGAATCGTGTTTAAATATTATTAATGAAACTTAAAACAATAAACTTAAGGAAAAATATAAGTAAAAATATGCAACGATTAAAAGCATGTTTTTTTTTTACGTGAGTCACGAATCGTGTTCGAGAGGGACCGCGAAAGACGCATGTCCTTGTCTTACAGTGGTTACAATGCATTTTATAGTAATCTGTTGAGTAGTTAAGGTGATATAAGCTGACAAACTCGCATTCATATATATTGAACCAGCTTTTGCACGCGGTTCCGCCCGCATGTTTGTCGGTTATCGCGGTAAAAATTAGCCTATGTCATTTCTCAACAATCAAAGTATCTCCATGCCAAATTTCATACAGACAGACAGAGTTTCTTAGTAGAGACTACTAAGAAACTCTGTCTAAATAACTCTGTGTGTCTCTAAAGAACTCTTTCTTTAGTTAGGACTTTTTGATGGGGTGCACTGCGTGGGGAAGAAGACTTGATGGCAACAATCGGCGTATTCAGAGTTTTGCTGGAGAAGTTCTCCATGGTTCACAAAAAGAGCGCATGGGACTCCAGCGCCTTGTTCTACGAGACAATGATGAATACCAAATAATCGGAAGGTAAGTGGGAAGGGAATTGGAGAGAATTAGTATTCTGCTGTCCAGCGGAACACGCACTAGATGCCGGAAAATATAAAAAGATCTCCAGTTTTCATAAATGCTTGATAAAGAAGGCTTGGCCAGCGGCCAAGTCTGTCAGGTCAGATTATCTTTCTAGGGAACACCCCAGCCATAGAACCTGAGGACTGAACAGTCTGTGTGGTTTAATTCGGTCCGACATACAACCTTGCTGATAAACCATTCGTGGGAATTTCCACACAAAAACGTTGAGATTTGTTATTGAGACGATTCGCCCGCGCAGATCTTGTTCTTTTGTGTTTTATTTGAGTATAATTGTTTATATTAAAAATTTGCTAGTTTGCTAGCTTTTACGTAGCGCATAATTTTATTTATTCATTTTGTCATTTATTCATAATTCTTTGCATAAGGGGACTTTGTTTCACTGCTTTTCCTGCCCAGCTAAAACAGGAAGTGGTGACAGGTTGGGCAAAAATGCCCAACCTGTGGGACTGATTTTATGTAAACAATAAGTTCAAAAAGCGCTAGTACTCAGCCTTATTTGAAGAAATGACTTTTGATTTTCATTATTATTCGTTTTTTTTACGAGTGTTTTCATCCCCCCAGGCGAGATGATGCATCTGGCTGTACCCGGATCCCTCCTCCTCCCTCCAGCGTTGAACACCGTGTGGTTTTAGTTGGTTAGATTTTGACACACTGTCCCACCGAAAACTCCGTTAAGATGTCAGTTCGAGGCAGTTTCCACAGGTACAAAAGAAAACGTGTGGTGATGAATAATGAAACATATGATTTTATGATGACCAGACTAGTTATATTTGCACTGTTTATTTCATAGAACTTACGTCTCAGATTTTTATCTAATTAATTATAAATGTAAATGAAGAAAACAATGGGAAACCCTGGGTTTCCCTGAAGTGATAACACGTAGTAATCGATATTTATTACAGCTTTACTATAAAATGCTTATTTAAATGGGTTTTACTCGTGATTTGAATCATCATCCTCATAATATTTCTGCCTCGTTATTTTTGAGGTCAAATAACACAGGTCAACAAAAATTTTATCCAGAAACCAAAGTATACTTTTTAGTAGGATTTTGGTGCGCTGCATCTAAATCCGCAGAATTGCTCTATCACGTCAGGTTTTTGAGATATTCTAACCTAAAAGTGCAAAAACGCCATTTTTGAC